AAAAAAACAAAGAAAGTGAGAAATATCTTGGAAATCCTGTTGTCCATGCTGCACTATTACACTCCTCCAAGATTGGGCCTTACAGCTCAAGACCCTCTTTGGAAGGCAATATAAGGACTTTTATGAACCTGGGCCTCCAAGCACTTGAGTGAAGGCTAATTTTCTGCGTTACATGTTATATTGTATTCTTCTAGCTCGTTGCCATAGCTGTATATGACAATTGACAACTTTTGCAACTTGTGTGGTGTAGATGGGAGATCAAGATATTTGTATGTGTGGTCACAGATTCATTATCATTCATTTTCTAGTTAAACCCTTTGAGATGGTCCAGTTCCACCAAAACTCCAAGCTTTGGGATTCAAAGCTGTCATGAAGATGATCAACACCTTTGAGATGCTCCAATGACAACAAAAAGACTGTTGGTTCTCTCCTCGTGTGTGTGTGTGTTACTTTTGGCGGTGTGGTAAGTAGGGATGTCAATGGGTTGACTTAACCTGCCCCTAAGGGTGCAAGTCAGGTACCAACCCAAGCCCACCTTGTATTGGGTCTGGGCCTATTCAAATTTTAACAAATTACCAACCCAAGCCCACCCTGCACTGCTACCTGACCCATTGATATTAGTGACATTGAAAAAATTATATGTAGGCTTCATTAAGAATAGGATTACTTTCTGGACCTGTTGGCATCCTCCAGGGATATTGTAATCCTTTTTCTTAATCTCTCTCTCTCTCTCTCCAATACTAGAGAGGAAAATGTTTGTGAAGGTGCACAAGAGCAGCCTCACTATTGACCACAAAATGAAAGAATGCAAAAATTTTTAATAATCAAGAAAAAGGTAGAAAATGTTCTTTTTTGCCTCATCATGGTAAGGACCATTTAATGAACGCTCTCTAAAGATGAATGAAGGGATATCAATTGTCTCCATTTTGAGAGAATGGTTCATAATGGCTGGTTATATTCCACAATGACAGATTAGACAGTCTTCAGTGGTGGTTCTGGAAATCAGCACAATAAAAGTCAACTTTGATGGGCATTCATCTGGAAATCCAGGTCAATCCAGTGCACGAGGAGTCAAGGGGTGTGTAGAGACCATATCGACATTGTATTGTTCAATTATTTAGTTCATCTGGGGAAAACATCTCTTAGGGCTGAACCATCTTTTGAGGCTTAAAATTTGCGTATACCTTAGGCTGGATTTGTGATACTAGTGAAAGGGGACTGTCAGGTTGTTAGATGGAACCTAGGATTAAAATATCGATACTATTATGCTCCATATGGGTGTATTGTATCAGTATTGCTGTACCCATATATGTTTGGATACATCGAAACACAGATTTTTTTAAACATTTAAAACGTCTCAGCCCTCTTCCCCAACCCCTTGATCATTATAAAATAAAAATGAAAAAGAAAAAAATAAAAAGGAGTATTGGCCATATCGATACACACCAATATCCATATTTGGGTATTGGATGTATCAATATTTTAATCCTTGGATGGAACCAAGGGAGAAAAGCCCTTGGTCCCTAGGAAACTACATGAGGGAAGCTAGAGCTCGTGGTGTCCAATATTGGCAAATGGCACTAATGTTTTATAACATGGAGGTGTAACGTGAGGTGTAAGCCTTTCGAACACAAGGAGGCTTATGCCTCCTTAAGAGTAGGGGGGTCAGGAGGAAGGGGGGATTTCATTTTTTCTTTATTTTTAATAAAAAATCTTTTATATATTTATCAAAAAAATAAAAAATATTTTATATTAAGAAGAATAAAGATGCATAGAATTAGTTGGGTCTTGTCGAAGCGGAGGCGAGGAAGCCAGAGCGGAGCAAGACCAGGGCTGCATTGAAAAGGGGGGTGAAGCCCCCCAACTGAAGGGGCCGGGGGCAGACCACTTTCTTTCCCCTTATCTTTTCTTTTCTTTACTTTTCTTTTCTTTTCTTCCCTTCCCATTCCTTTCCTTTTTTCTTTTTTCTTTTTTCATTTTTTTTTCATTTTTTTATATGAGGTGTACACGAGGCATACGCCTCTAGCACGCCTCATGAAAAAGGTGCATGAGGCATACACCTCAGAGGTGTCAGTGCCTTTGGCATATGCCTCAGGGCGTTTTGGGAGCACCTCGCTTGGAGGCGTGCCAGGTAAGACTATTTTGGTTTGGGGGCACCAGGCCTGGGGCTGTATTGTAAAAATCTTGTAAGAGTCACAATGAATATGTGGGGTGTTATCAGTTCAGTGCTGCTGTATTGCCCCCTCCAGTCTTACCTATTGGGTTGCTGGGTCTCTTCTTCTATTATATTAACAAAGCCTTTTGATCGTGTCAATGATAAAAATTGCCTAAATAAAATATTAACATAGTGCAAGAAAATGCACCAGCTCAAATGCTTTGTAACTAAATATCAGTTCTATAAGGCCTTTTTTGATAGCTATCTATAAGGCCTTTATATACTCCCCATATGCCTTATTGCCTTTTTACTTTAGTACCTTATCTGATTTGTTTATTGGAAAACATGGTTGTGTTTATCTAAACTTAAGTAGTCCATATATCTAAGGTTATTAGCCTTGTTTAAAAATATGAAAATTGGATAGCAAAAACCTAATTATGATGAGATTTTTATTTATTGTTCATGTGATCCATCCTCATAACCCAAGTATTGAAATGCTTTAATCTATCAAAAAAAAAAGGTATTGAAATTGATGGTGCGCAATCCGGTCACTCCTAGCTGGCACTTGCGTGGCTCCTAAAAGGTACCTGAGATGGAGAAGATGAGGGATCCCCAGGGGCTTGCCCGGCGGGAACACTCCGACGCTTAAGTTAGAGTTCTGTAAAAGATGCAAAGAGAGGAAGAAAGCTAAGAGTGTAGATAGCGCGAGTATCAGAAAGTTACCTCTGTCCTTTGGGATTGGGCTACTTATAATAGAACTTTGCCGAATCAGGCCCACCTGCCTCTGATAGGGCAGGTATAACCGCCACTGTCATCTTGCCGCAGCCATTACAGCCAGGGCTGAGGTGGCACGCGCGGGGCTGTCGTTGCAGGGTATGTACCTGTCAGGTGTAAGACACCTTCTAAAGGTGGCGGGCACAACACTGTCTGACGAGAGACGTGGTTGCAATCTCCAGGTTTGTCAGGTATGGTGGTCGGGCAAGAGGCCTTCTTGTGATGTGCCGAACTGCTCTTCTGCGAGCTACCCTGTACCGAGCTACCCTGCAAGTGGTGAGATGCCTGTGGCATGCTACACCGAGCTGTCTGGCCTGAGGTGTCTCTACCTCGGGGTATCTAGAGGCGGATCGGAGTGTTCCTGTTTGGGAGTGGCCTAAAATCCACTGGGAGGAGCTCGGGCATTAGGAAAGGTTAGGAGGCCTCGAGCTCGGAGGTAGCTCGGAGCGCCTCAGCCTTGGGAAAGAGGTGCAAGCCAGGCGGCTCTCGGCGAGTAGCCTAACCCACCGAGTTGCCAGACTAAACTCGGTGAGCCCTTCCCACCGAGTTGCGATTGCGCTTGCTGTGCTGTCACGTAGAGTCATCGCTTGAGCAAGGTCATGCCCACGTGTACCCGTGCTACGAGGTCGGGCCAAATCACCCTCCATCAGAAATGCTTTAGCTGATGTAGAAAATTGTGTTCTTAAGCACCATGCCAGAAGGAAATCTTGAAAGACAAGTCAACCATTTGTACAATTACATATAACATCATGCTTTGGCCATGTCTCTGGGATAAAAGGTGCATCTGAAACATTCAACAATGTTTCTGCTTTATTTTGTAAAATTTATAACCTACACAGAGTGGGCAAGTAGGCACTCCATTGCCGCCTAGAATTGTTGATATGCCTTTACAACCATGGTAGATCCTTAAGACTGTTATGTTTATCTTGAAAGCATTCAAGTCAGCACAATAAGATTGACATGTGAACTTGAGAGTAAGTTGATCTCACATAACTACATTATCTGAGTCAAATTTGATGGGTTTTTATAGAACTATTCATGTGTGGTGGGCGGTTGCAAGTTGCAACCAAAGTTCAAAGTGTCATACACCTCTGTGTATCTGCAGGGGTGTATCGGTACTTTGAACCAAACTCCTTTTATTTTTTTTTAGTTTTTTTCCAAGTTTCAGTTTAAAACATATATATATATATATATTTAAAAAATGGGTTCCCAAAAACACCTGTAAATAGGTGTATCAGGGACCAAAAGATATGATACGATACACCCAATATGGGGTGTATGACATCGATCCTTTGAACCTTGGTTGCAACCTTGTCAGTTCTGTATCATTGTCCATTGATTTGGTTACCTAGGCATTTGCTCTAGCACCTGGGTCTTTTGATGTTGGCATTCCGTAAGATATCTTTTATCAACGAGCAATTGGTTCACATTTCCAGCTCATTTCTATGCAACCTTCATGCTCTTTTCCATCATGTCATGTCATAATCATAATTAATGGAGGAAGTTTTTTATTAAAAATGTATAAATAAACGAATAAAAAAATATGTTTCTGGTATTCTTTGTATCTATATTTTAACGTCTGAACATTTCTTTCTACCTTTACCTTGAATTTGGAACTATACAGTTGCCTGTCTTCTCCTTGTGGCCATACAATGCCGTCCATTATCCTTCCACTTCATTCCTTTTTTAACTTTTTTTTTTCAGTTCAAATTTGAACTTGTAATAATCTATCCTAGTCATTAAAATGATAAAGAAGCTCCTCTATTACCAGCCGGGAGATTTTTTTTTCTCTCCTTGCTACACATCTTTGCAATAGACGATCGAAACATTCTTGTGGAGAGTGATCAACCAGGTGCTTGCAGTGGTTGTTTTTAATTAATGAAGTAAATAAAAGTACTTGCGAACTGCATCACAAGAAAACCAGCGTAGGTTCATATTGTAATCATTTTTAATGAGGACAAATATATCTAAATAATGACCTAGAAATGTATACTTTGACACAAATGCTTGATATGCTGATTTACCAATGAATCCTCCTTGGTTCTGTTCTCATGATTGCTTCCCCGTGCAGACTGAAGCTGCAGCAAAAAGAGCCTTGGCTCTTGATGGAGCTGACATGTGAGTATTGAAGAATTATATTTCCTATATTATTCTTTGCCTTTCTTTTTTGTGAATCCCCACATAATATATGATTGAAAATTTTGTTTCAGGGGTGAACTTTTTCTAAAGATCCAGCCTTACAAGACAACTCGGGTTCAGAAGTCATCAGATTTTGCCCCTGAGATTGTAGAGGGCTATAATAGGATCTATATTGGAAATTTGTCTTGGGATATGACGGAGGATGAACTAAGGAAACTTTTCTCAGATTGCAATATATCATCAATACGCTTAGGCAAGGACAAAGAGACTGGGGAATTCCGTGGCTATGCACATGTTGATTTCTCTGATAGTCTCTCTCTAACAATTGCTTTATCACTAGACCAGAAGATGGTGTGTGGAAGACCAGTGAGGATAAGATGTGCAGTTCCAAAGAAAGAGCCAGATAACCATCCAAAATTGGAATCCGGAAGCAAGAAGGCAGAAAAAAGCAGTGTGAGCTCCGGCAATGGGAAAAAGAAGAACAAGAGACGGACATGCTATGAATGTGGTGTTCCAGGTCATCTTTCCTCAGCTTGTCCTAGGAAGAAGGCTGTTGATCAAGAGAATTGTCCAAAATAAATTCCTTTACTGTTGATCAATTTTCCAAATCTGTCACTTGATGAGGATCCTCGAGTTTTTGCTTTGTAGGTCTGTAGTAGAGCCATTCAAATGTATTTATTTGTTCAATCAAATACAAAGGTGGAAGCAATTTATGGTTTTTTGGTTGTCTTAGATACAGATCTTTGATAACCCTGGAATTGACAATCCCCCCTCATTTTTCTCCTTTTAGTAGAGCATTTAAAACTAATGGGTGTTTCTAGCTCCGGCTGATTCTCTTAAGTTAATTTTCCCTTAAATTTACACAAAGCAAATGTACCTGGTTAAATGTGGAGCCAATTTAATGTCATAGTAAATCATTTTTAACTATTTTGGTTTATATCTAGTTTTAGTCCCTTCAACTTGCAATATAAGACAGTTCTTCTTATGGGTGCTGTTGGTGGTCTTTTATGCATGTGATCAAATCATTTTAGACTATTTTTTTCTCATTTTATAATTTAATGGATCTACTCCTAATTTCTTTCAAATGACTTTTAATTTTGATCTTATTCCATTCATTATCTCAACATATGCAAATTTGCTACATTCACTTTTTAGCCCAACATTATGTTCCATACAACATAGTTGGCTTTACAATTATTATATAAAGTTTTCTTTTTAATCTAAGTAGTATTTATTTATCATATAAGACTCCGAATGCACCATTTCTATTTGGATCATCCCACTCTAATTTTATAGCCAGCATCTTCAATTGCTCCCTTAGTATGAATTATCAGACCGAAGTACCAAAAAGATGACATTACATTATCTTCTAATCTTAAATCCTTTGTGAATCTTCATTTCCACTCCTATAATCATACTTAAATTGACTTATTTTTGGATAAATATAAAAGTAGAATAATAAAGTACATAATACTAGTTGATTTATGTATTGGAGTATTAGGTTTATGGATGTGCTGATATAATTTTAGATTAACTATATATTTCTATAATTAATAATTAATAATTTAACTTAAATAAATAGCAACACATTAATAATATATGGTAATTTAAAAAGAAGGTTATGTGTTATGTGTCTTGAATCATTATTAGTAAAGTTATATTATATGATATTTACGTGTCCTGTTATCTTAATAATAATAATAATAATAATATATTGAAGTATGTGTTTCTTATGTTATTTGTATCCTGTCATAATCTTTTTATTATATCTATATATCTAAAACGTATCGCATTACTTATTCATTTTCCACCTATAATAATTGATACTTTGAAGCTTAAACTCTGTCGGGTGGAGGGCGGGGATTTATTTTTTGAGCGTAAAACAAGACTGAATGTTTATTTTCCTTCCACAGGCCTATTTAACAAGGTCAAATGCATCTACACCACAAATAAAACTCGTTGGTCAAGTGCACGTATGAAGTGTGTTTGGGATGACCATTAATTACGCAACTTCACTTTCGCTCCAAATTAATGAACCTGCACATGGGTTGGATTTGGGGTCAAACCACGAGACCAAAGCTTCCGTTGAATTGAATTAAATTGGACGTTGTGGTGGGGCCATAACGATTCACGGTTTTAGCCTCGCGCTAAAACCATGTCGCAGCAAAAGTAAGAGTGAACTGGTGTGGACTTTTGACTGTTTAGCCGATTATTTGGACTAATTAAAACCGACCTCAGCCGAAGTGGAGACTGGAGACGGCCTATTTTAAGTTTGACTGCTCTCTAGTCGGCCCTCTTGATTTCCGAGCCACGAGCGAATGGATTTGGTGCTGACTGCTGGCTTTGTGGGTCTCTCTCTCTCTCTCTAGTCCGGTAGTCCCTACACAACACAGAACACACACACACACTTCTTCTTTCGGCTTCCCTACCCGCGCATCATCCGGCGATTCATCATCCCAATAAAACGACGAAATGTACCGGATCCATCAGTTCAGATTTCTGAGCAGATAAGTGAGACAAACGCTATGTGACAACCTCCCATCTCTTGCTTGATATTTAAGTCAACATTGATGGATTGTCTGATTTAGCCAACTGCGACGGAATGGATGGATCGATCTCTACCGTCGATTCCCTCCGACCCCCAAACTTCTTTAACGTACCACCTGCTTTATTGCCTTGCCACTCGTGATGATATATATATGAATTCGGGATTTAGGGATGGACAGATTTTACCCTTGCCAGAGGTTTGTGCTACATCCTTACATCATTACTCTACTCTATCCGTAAAGAAAGGGCAAACCTCCACCTTCATCCTTTAAGGCGCTTATCTTATAGATTGTCATTTTCTAATGAGTTAATTTGGGGGCATTCCCACGTCTGGGCTTGTATTTTCATAAATTCCACTCAAGTCCCTCTCAGACTTTTGTCTTTTGTTATATAAAAAAAGGAAGAAAAGGTTCTACCTGTTGAAATGGGAAAAGCCATTCCCATTGAGGACTGTCCGATCCCAATCTTATTCTGTTTCTTGTCTCTACTGTGTACGATGTCCTATATCTATCCGGCCCTTCACTCCAGTTTCTTCAAATATAGTTTTACCTAAGCAATTCCAATGCCGTTGGATTGGCATCCGGTTAACAATACCGAAGAATCATTTTGTTGGTCCCGTATAACATGATGCTTAAACTCAGGAGCATCAACATCAATCAGAAATTAGAGAATTTCTTTTTCTTTTTAAAGTCAAACCTTAAAATTAGAAAATAGAAGTTGGGGGAATTTCTGTTTCAAACTTTCAATTACTTTGAAAAACAAATTTTTTCAAAGGCGTCCAATTATTTCCCAATCTGATAATCAACTGGGAAAGTGTGATGGGATGATGTGAAGAAGAAAAAGGGAGATGATGATGATGATGATCTTTCATTCTCCCCGTGCACCTATGACCTATCAAGACTTTTTCAGACCTTCTCTACTCTACTCTGCTACATCAAATCGGCGATTACCACAGTAGTTTCCTATTTTATCAAATCAACGGAACGCGAACGCGACACGACTCACGACTCGCGACTCGCGAGATACAAAATTAAAATAATATTTTAAGTACTTGAAGTCTATGAGACTGTGTTTGTTGGCTTGCTGTTGTTGGGGCATCCCATTTTGAATCTCCCCGTGCCCGCCTCCGTCCACACCTCCCTTTCCCTCCTTTATATTTCTTCCTCTTCCCTCCCTTTTCTCTAGTTTCTACTCTCTCTCTCTCTGTTCTTCATCCAAAATCTTCCAAGGACCGACGATTCTTCCACGGTAAACACTTCGGGTGATTTCTGTTTTAAGCTTTCTTTTTTTTTTTTTTTTTTTCTTCCCAAGTTTCTTCGCATTTATTGTGTGATTTTTTTTCTTCCAACGATCTTTGATCCATTCCAAATATGCAGTATTTTTTCCTTGTTGGTTTCCTTGTTTAACCTTTCGAGCTTTCCTTCACATTATTTTGTTCGTACACTGCTGCTGGTGCAGAGTAATGGCTGTCACTTCAAGAGGAAGAACCGAACTTCAGATTCCAAAGAAATGGAAGGACAGAGAGACGAGTCCTGAAAGAACAAAGATTTGGACAGAGCCAAGGCCTAAGACGGAGAGGAAAGTTCCTGTTGTTTACTATCTCTCTAGGAATGGCCATCTCGAGCATCCTCACTTCATGGAGGTTCCTCTGTCTTCAAGCGAAGGATTGTATCTCAGAGGTTCGTCTGAACAAAAAAATAATAACTGCTAGTCCTCAATGGTTTCTCAGTGAACTTGTTTAAGGTTTTGTAAATTTGTTAGTTATCTGAATGTTTCTTCTCCATTTATGTTCTGTCGTTCCTGATTCAGATGTCATAAACCGGTTGAACGTACTACGGGGGAAAGGCATGCCGTCCATGTACTCCTGGTCTTCCAAACGGTAGATTCCAATTAATCCCTACTTCTTCAGTTCTAATACTTCAGAGTATCTGTTTTTGATTCAATGTGTCACTCAGGAGCTATAAAAACGGATTTGTCTGGCACGATTTGTCTGAGAACGACTTCATCTACCCTGCACACGGCCAGGAATATGTTCTCAAGGGTTCAGAGCTTCTTGAATCTTCTTCGAGCTTCAGATCTCCGGGATCTTCAGAAACAGTGTCCCCAACCTCCGAAAAGCCACCGGAAGTAAATAAGCCGACCGTCGAATGCGACTTCCCGGTAGTCGTCCGGAGGAGAAATCAGTCATGGAGTTCCATCGACCTACACGAATACAAAGTCTACAAGACCGAATCGACCGGCGAGTGCGCCGGCAAGGCCGCCGACGCGTCGACGCAGACCGACGACAAGAGAAGACGAAGAAGAATAATCAGAGAAGAGGAGGTGCAAGAGAAGGCTCCCCCAATTGAGGAGGAACAATACGAAGATCAAAGTACGGAGTTGAGCAGGGAAGAGATTTCCCCTCCACCATCGTCCTCTAGTCCAGAAACGTTAGAATCTCTGATCAAGGCTGACGGACATCTCATTAGCCGTTCCGGTGGTGTTGAAGGAGCAGATATTCGAGATCAGACGGCTAATATTAGTTCAAGCGGAAGGATGAAGGCCTCTGCGGTTCTGATGCAATTAATTTCGTGCGGCACAATCTCCATCAAGGATTGCAGCACCATGCCTTCATCCGGGAAGGATCAAGGGTTTTCGTTGATTTCGCACTACCGAGCGAGGATACCCCGCGGAGCATCGAATCAAGTAACCAAAGAGGTAGAGTGTTTGATGGAAAACCCTAGTTATGGAGGGGTACGGTTAGAGGATAAAGAGTACTTCAGTGGAAGCTTGGTCGAGACGAAGAAAGACGAGTTTCCAGCCTTAAAGAGATCGTCTTCTTACAATGCAGATCGGTAAGGCCCCTTGCTTACTTTGTTTCTAGCTTTCAATCATACTGGTTTTTTCGGAGTTTAGAGAGTCCCTGGTTTTGGCAACTGCAGGTGATCCTTTTTGTCGTATATGTTTAGGGCATGGACCTAGGTACTAAAACCACACTAAATTTACCAAAGTAGCCCGGTACTTTTTTCTTTATTTCAAAAGCGTTTGAAATCGTATACTGGCGTTTCTTCCTGGTAGTCTGACGGAGACTGAGAGTCTCTGTTCGGATTTGAATTTGAGATTCGTACGGCCTTTTTCGAAAGTACGCGCTCACCTTTGCCATTTAACCTTTCCTTTATATCTTTCTTTTCCTCTTGTGGTCGGGACTGTGTATGTATGTAGTGGGTCGCTGGCTTCTGGCTACCGGCCAAGCCAAATTTTTAGCTTAGCAAGATGGGCAGCCTGGTGTGATGGAGGGTGGTGATCTAGTTCATGTGGTCAATTGGTCCAGAGAACCGACAAAGTGACACAAGGATTATATTCAATACGTAGCGTTCATGGAGTTCATATTGGTGACACTGAATTGGCCATGTGTACGACTTCCTTGTTACTGGGAGAAGTTGTAAGGGCTCTTCTCCGCCTTTTCGGGCCTCAACCCCGACGCATCGTCGTTGCGAGGTTGAAGAACGAAGATTCCTCCACCCAACCAGCAACCTTAGAAGGGAATGGGGGAGAGGAGATGGGGATTTTGGCCGGGAATGGGAGGGATAGGGATTGGGGAAGGGGAAGGGGGGAAAAAAAAGGAGAATTGGGATTATACTAGCAATGTGAGGACTGAGGATCATGGTGTACGGAAAATCCTCAGCTTTTCGTGGAAGCTGAGGTCATCAAGTAGGAGTGTGCAGTGTTTTCCACATTGTAGCATTTGGCATTGAACAATCAGATGACTACAAGTCTACAAGTTACAGTTGTTAGGATATATGCTAGGACGATAGTAGATGATGGTGGTCCCGGTCCTGTTCAGATCTGATTGATTGAGGATTACGCCAAGCAATCAGTGTGTGACAAGTATTCCAGCCTATTACACGTGTGTAATATCCGTACAGGTGAAAAAATAACAACAGTAGTCTTGAACACCTGTCACACACTGATGGCTTAGTATAGCAAGGAAAAAAAATAAAGCAAGCAGATCCGGACTAGTTTGGTACTCAGCTAATAGCCAAACACTTGTCCTTGTCTTATTTAATAAGGTGATTATCCGTGATTTGCTCTTATTTCTGCTCCTTTGTTGTTATCTTCATTTGTTGGGTGGACAGAAGCTCCAAGTTAGACCTAGCCGACAAGGAAATTGAGGGAGTCAGAGCAAAATGCATACCGAGGAAGCCAAAGACACCAGGGAAAAAAGAAAGCAACGACGTCTCACGTAGCAGCATTCACGGGAGCAAAAGACATGGCGACGAACCCGTCATCAATCAAATAGATTAAACAAACGTACGAAAAGTAGGCGTCTGTGTATTTTGTAACTAAAAACGATGTGAAAAAAAAAAGGAAAATAGGAGAAAAACAAACAGAAGCAAAGTGAAGAATGGAGGTGGATGGAAAATGCGAGAGGAAAGATTAGAGATTTCTCCACCTGGATTGCAAGACACGGCACGCAGTGGTGTAAACGAGACAAGCATAAGAGAAGAAGAGGAGGGGGGGGTTGGAACCGTACTTAAAAAGCCTTCACTTTTTTCCCTTGTTTAAGGTTACGGATTGTCTCTTTCGCTTGGAACTTGGAGTTACTGGGAGTTTATTTCTTGGTTTGAGATGATTATCCCAATCTCCAATTCACTCTCACTATATTTATTTTATTTTAATTCACTAGTGATTTTGATTCACGGGACTCGTTTTGACCTTGAGCATAGGAAATAGAATTTTGTCGTTTTTTTTATATTGCATATTTGCATGTGGAAACTGGAAAATTGGCGCACCGTGATACAACCATCACCAATAATGACAGATCAAGCGGGGTTGTTTTATTGCTAAATCAGGATAAAAGTAATGTTTAAGAACTGACTCGACCCTCTTGTGGTTGTTAGGTTGGCCGTTGTAATTCCCGTCTCTCGCACCTTTTTTTTTAATCTTTTTCTTGGTTAAAAATGCTAGCCATTCGTGCTGGTGGAAGCATCAATAATTAGTCAGGGGGCGCGTGATATAATTGTAGTTATGACGTGGTCGGGGATGGCGGAAACCATTAGCCCGGTTTTGGGGAAGTCGATTAATGCGTGCCTAACTGGTGGATAATTGGATATCCTAAAAATTTTTAGAAGCTATCGTGTATTATAAATGTTTTTGGAATCGCAGTTGGTAATGCAATGTCTTGGTATTGGGTTCGGAGTAGGCACGTTGGATAGGCATAATGAGTTGTATAATACATGTTCCAGTTAATGGAACAAAAACGTTTAGATGGAAGGTACATTAACTGGGCACACAGATATTGTATTTATCCAACGTACTTATTACATTCAGACCCCTTGGTATTAGGAATCCTAAACCCTCTTGACCTCATCCCAGTCTAAATAAGGGTTATTCTGTGTATCTCTCTCTCCACAATCCCCTGTGGCCGACTTCCCTCACGTGAACTTAAGAATCGAAAGGTTGATTTTGTAACTCTTTTACCTTTACCGGAGAGTGGAGAGGAACGTGCATGGTCGAATCCAATAGAGTGTCACCCAGCATGACAACACCCTGCCGACTTCGTGTATTGTCATGTGTGAACGCCATTACTTAAATGTGGAGGTCAACAAGATCACTATTGAGTGGATTCGAAGCTTTATTCTTTGTTTTGTTCAACGGAAAACCCAAAATTTTATAATGATCGGATGATTTTGCAACGTGTCTGTACGTGACAACTTTACAAAGAATTTCCTTGTTTTTTTGATAAATTTTACAAAGAATTTCCTTATTATAAGTCACTTGGAAAATTAAGGGATGAAGTTATAGAATTACAGAACAGTTTGTAAGGAGGGCATAGATTTGCTTATATATGCACTTTGTAAATTATAGAATTACAAGTTATTTATCCTAACAATAACAATCCAGATATGAGATAAAACCTTTGCTTGAAGTGTGGCCTAACATTCAATTCAGGAGAACAAAAGACAACTTTTATGGAGTTCTATTCTCTCGCATTTGGATTTTGGATAGAAAAAGATAAGAAAAGACCACTTGAGGACAAGATGATGAAAATAGAAAGAATATATGCTGATATATTACAAGTGTGGCAGATGGTAGTGGACTGGGTTACTGTTCTTCCAGAATTTTCAGGGTTGGACAGGTCATCCTTCGGACTTTTGGTTCAACTTTTTCAGATACAGTTGAACTGTCGCATGATGATGATGATGATGATAGTATGTTAAGTTGAATGTGTAGTCAACTAACTAGTACGAGACAATTAAACTGACATTGATGCTTTTAATTTCTGTGTAATTGGTTTTTTATTTAATGAGGGGGAGGGGTTGGGTGTAAGCTCATCGCTCTACCGCATGCTGTACTACTTGTTTTATTTTTAATAAGATTCCTTCTGCTTTAGCTTTATTATCTGAAACAGAAAATAAAAATTGAGTAGTTTTGCTCTTGGAGGGGTTAAATTCTTTCATCACGTTTGACTAGTATTGGAGGGTTATTACCTATTCACAGTTGGAATCGGAATTGGAATTTAAATGGAATTCTAATTCTACCCAACCAAACTTGTGGAATCAAAATGAACCCTTTTTTGTTCCAATTCTAGATCCCAACTCCTACAAACCAAACAGACCCTTATCTCTTGATTGGCACAGCAATTCATTATTGCTGTTTCTAGGTACACCTACACGCATAAATATTAATATCCTTGGGGTGTAGCTTCAGGCTTCTTCTTTAAGACAACACACTCTTAATAAATTAACAAACCCGACTTCCCACACATCAACAAACAGGCATATTCATTCCCTGAGCTGCACCCACACACGATGAGATGGGATTGGGACTTGGGGAGGGAGTAGGGAGTAGGGAGTGAAAAACAAGCAACCAGTTGAAAAAAACAAAAAGCAATTTATTATTGTATTTATACATGTGCAGTGAGAGTACTCAAATTTAATAAAGTCCATCAATCGCGATGGAGTGTAGTGTACTATGCTGAAAATGATGATGATGGAACAAATTTAATGCTTCTTCATCGTCCCCACAGCTATGATCCATCAATTGACGAGAATTTCTTCAATGTAATTAAAATATTCAGGTGCGAAACCTCGTTCTTCCTCTTCCTCCTGCTTAAATCTTAATGTGACATTCTTGTAAATACCAAAATCGCCCACTGATTCGGGTATGGAGTTCTTTATGCCATCCCAAGTAGTTGTTTTTAATTAATTTAGATGGGTAAATAAGTTATCTCTGTTCAGTCGAGTGAGATGAGCTTCATGTGTAAATGGGCAAGGTGTTCTTCCTGGAGTGGGTACAGACGATCCCAGAAGCATTCTCATTTGACAAGATTCAGATAATGGCTCAGCCGCGAGTTATTGACTCTGCAATTGGAAGACACTGATCAGAGCAGAGTGGTGGAAGCAATTAAGGGCTACTGCAAAACCGCATTAGATATATCCTCATTCCTCGGGCTCTATGTATTCATATTCATGAATCATGTTGTACGGTTATAATTTGACTTGATCATTCTGAGATGACCGAATGTAGAGGAAGATCAAAGCTTTTAATACCTTCAAATTCTTACATTAAAAAGGTACTCCCCTTAACAATCGACAACCGGTTTAGTGGCATTCTTATAAAAGGGTTTCACTATGATATGAAAAAGATATGATATTTAAACAATTTCTGATCAATCAACTGGAATCATAAACATGATAACCGATCACGTCTTATTTATCAAAATTCAGGAATGGATTTTGATTGGTCAAAACTCTTCCTCTACCATATTTTTTCTGTATCATAGGTTTTCCCCTTATAAAACGATAGAATTTAATAAACTCACAATCCGTCCAATAAGGCCATTCTAGTAATTACCCTCCACACTTGCAGTTATGTGGAGGGTAATCACTAGTGTATACCTAGGTGCGGTGCATAATTTCGAGAAGAATGGGTGGGTGGAACGAAGGGGTTAAGCCCAACCGTCTAAGCTCATGGGCCAAAAGTTGCTAGATATCAACAATTGCGGAGTAAACCCTTTTAAAAAGCCCATTTCTTTTCTCCCCAAATGATCTCTGTACCCCCGCCCCCCAATTCCATGCTGTACAGACTTTGATTTTTGAGATTATTTGCATCCCGCCCAATTTGGAGGCTCAGGCACTGGATCAGTTCGCAGCATGGTTTTCAAAACCGGACCGGAACCAATGTTGGAGCAGAAAAACCAGGAATGACCGGTTCCATTTTTCCTCAAAACCGGATTTTCTTAAAAACATTGATTTTGAGATTAGCAAATTACTGACTCAGGTGGTTAATCGTTCAAACAGTTTTGATCATTTTTTATTTTATTTTTTATCAAAATGGGCTAAATATTCAATTCAAACAGTCAGACCATTCGACCCAGAAACCACACCCTGACTAGTTCACTCTGAATAGATTTTAAAAACCTTGGCTCACAGAACCACGCGCTCTCCGTGGTATGGCCAGTGGCCCTAACGTGTACCCTGCTCTGTCCTACCCCCTGATTTTGTTTCTATAGTAATATATAATACCAAAAATGGGAAAGAATTTCATTCTTCGAAATTTTGACGCAAGTAGCTATTGGATGGATGGACATGTAATACTTTTCCTACTCAAGCAAATGCTCAAGTTGATTGCTTGTCCATCAGTTGAAAACTAAGCTTCAAGTACACTTGCATCCTAAATTCAAGTTGACCATGCGGCCCGATATGGCCTGGAACAAACTTGGACCGGCAATTTTAGGTCCACAGGCCGGCATGGCACGGCATGACCGAGCGAGCCATGCCACCTGCGGCCCAGCCCAGTATGGCCCATATTATATATATATATATATATATATATATATATATTATAATTATATAATATATTAATAAAATAAATATTTTTTAAATTTTATTATACTAATTTATTTAATTATTGCATATATAAGAAGTTTTATACACAGAATTCATATAAAATTAAAATTTTAAGTTTTTTATCAATTTTATTAAATAAATAGCTTTGGTCCGATACACGGCCCGACCTGGCCCAAGGCTCAACCCACAGGTCAACCTGACCCGTGGCATGACACGGCACAGCCCACTTTACACCTCTACTCAAAATGCTGCTACATGCATTAGCAATGCCTAGGCATTTTAAGTTTAAACGTCAGTTTTCTGTTTGGTTGAGATTGTTTTGAATTAAAACAGTCATAAAACGTTTCCACTACAATTGGATGAGAGTTGATAATAGTGGTGTGGTGTCACTTTGAATATAAACATTTCATTTAAAAGTAATGTCAAAACCAAACAGACTGCTTGAAACAATTATTCAACGCACGCCTGTAGCATGTTAACACCAAACAGACTGCTAAGAAAGCTTAATTCTAATTTTAGTAAGTAAAATCTTGTATTTTTTTTTTTTGTGCAAATTGTAATTTGTAAGTTTACAAAGCCTATAGTTGAGTTGAAACCACGGTTCACAAACATCGAAAAGAAGTGAAGGGATTGGCAACATGATTTAAAGCATCCAAACCTAAAACGACTGAAATCGGAAATCCTCTTAAAGAAATTGGTCTTCACATCTACCTCACAGCCTTTGCTGCCATGCATTAGGGAAATTTTCCCATGAATAAAAGTATACAAGAACACAGATGTTCTCAATGTGTGGGTGCAAGTGCAGTGAGGTGGGTGTGAAGACCAATTTTGTGAGGAAATCTGAACTC